AAAAAAAAAAAAAAAAAAAAAAAAAAAAAAAAAAAAAAAAAGCCTGATTAAAATTGGTGGTAATTTGAGTAATTCCAAACCTACAACCCCTTCCACGTTACTGTGAAAAGCCAGCATGATTATATTTCCTGAGTGTTCTGTATGGTTCTTGAAGTCACAATATTAAAATACAAGCCTTAAAAGGGACATGCACCCATGTTCCTCACTTTGCAAAAAACAAACAAAACAAGCTGGAATGCACCCCAATTTCGGATCCCAGGTAGAATGCTCAGGGACAGGGCAATCAGGCCTGAGGAGGAGAAGCGTCTGGGGTGGAGGAGGGTGGGCTCATGGGAAACGAGTGGGCCCCATGGTTCCCTCCATATGCAAAAGGAGGGATAAGCACACCTACAACGGCTCGCAAAATAACAGGAAAAGCAAATGGTGAGGCAGAAACAAAATGGTGCTTTACCAGAGTTGGGCACAAGATGGCCAGGCCCTGTGTGGGAGGAAGGGCCAGCTGAGCCAGTGATGCTGCGCGCTCGCCATTGCTCTGCAGCTGCAGGTGGTCACGTGCTGCTGCCCACTCAGGACCGCAGGCCCAGCCCTGCCCTACCCGGCCCCCGGGTGTCCTCCCGCTTTGCACCCGTGGGGTGCTCGCTCACCGGGCTCTCCTAAATGCAGTCCGGGAGGGCAGGGGAGGGCGTGATTTCTGTTCCCACGTCCAGCTCCTCGACCCATTCATTCAGCGCACAGAAGGCTAACTGCACAGCGGCCATGTGTGAGGCTCCTCTCCGCCTTCACAGTCAGGCGCTCAGGCACTGGGATCAGACATCAGAGCACCATTTGGCCACTTACCCGAGGTGCGGCTTGTGCCTGGTTATTGTCACGTGCAGAACGAACATTCCCAAGGTTCCTAACTCGTGTGGTTGTGCGCCTGTGTGGTCCCTGTAATAAATCATGGCACGGCTATGGCTGGGGCTGGGATCCCGTGCAAAATGAAAACGGGGAGTGCCTTTTTCAAAAGGGAAAGAATCGCTATTAGAGACTAAAATATGAAACTTTTCCCTTTGTTTCTCAGTCTCTCTCAACCGACCGTGGCGGTTTTTATTTCCTATTTAATGCCTTGCTCCCTCGGGCCTGGGAATGGTCCCCCGGCAAGGGCGTGTGACTCAGCACAGCCCCAGGAGCTCCCATCTACCGCCCTCCACGGGGCCAATGCACTGTGCCCCCCAGCAGGGTCCTGCCTTTCCCACAGGCCACTGCCCTGGTGCACAGTAGAGAGAAGATTCTCAAGGGGCTTCCGTCCGCAAGCCGGGAAGCACTTGTAGCCGGATCAGGGGCGGTGAGAGTCTGGCCCCGGTCAGGTCACCTGTGGAATGTATCCCGGCAAGGGCAGCCTGGTGCAGGGGCAGTCCCCGCTAGGCCCTCCCCTAAAATACCAGGCAATGTGCATGCGCAGCCTCAACACTCCCCGCGTGCCCACCCAAGGCCCCTACCAGGCACACTGAGGGTGACAGCATCCAGACCTCCTCTTCTCACATTACCCAGGTGGCACTGGCTGCAGGATGGGGTGGGGAGGAGCCTGGTCAAGGCCCAGGGCACCACGGGAGTGAGGGAGTGGGTAGGCAAGAACCCCTCCTGCGAAGGTGGCAGGATAGCACGGGAGCCATAAATGCCAAGTCAACATAATTGTTCAAAGCGATGAACATTTCAAGATGGCAACTGCAGAGCATTTAACCCCAAGTGCACGTCCTTCTGGGAGGCAGGACCCCAGTGCAAATGCCTGGGATTTTACCCCCGGGAGGCCAATGAAGGGTCTGTGGCGGTCTATCTAACACACCTGCCCCAGATTGACTAGGTTAGTAGCGATCTAGAATAGGCTTAACGGAGCAGCTCTTCCCACAAAGACTTCTAGAACATATTTCAATATAAAAACACACATATACCACAAAACTGTCAGCTCCGTGAGTGGAGGCGCCGTTATGTCTCCTGCTTAGGAAGCTGTCCCCGAGGCCTGGCACATGTACACACCCAGGAAACAGCTGTGAAGCGGGATGCAGATCTGTAATGCAGGGAGCAAGCGAAGCCTGCTCTAAGATATGTACACGTTACGCTATGTGGAAATTCAGACGAGATAGAGAATACTCACCCTCACCCTTGGAGAAGTCTTTTGGAGGGAAATGGCAATCTAGCTGAGCCTTCCGGTTCCATTAAGATGTCAAGACGCAAAATTAAATCAGGGGGAAGGGGGTGCTCTACCCTGATCAAGCAGACACCAGGAACTTGACCAAATACACTTAGGTTTTAACTTGTGTTATTTCAAAACCCCCTGAGGAGTTCTGCGAGTTCTAAAGGGTGAAACTTGAAAGTGACACCCTGCACGTGGCCTGACAAGGGGAGGCTGAGGAAACTGACCAGCTGCTTCAGGGGTCCGAGGCAGGTGCAATAAACAAGGCAACTTACATGGGAGGCTTGCCCTCCCCTATAGAACCGCATCTCCCCCTGCCTTCCAGAATCCTAAAAGTTTATAGAGAGGCCTTGAAGAGATCCAGTTCTGTGTACCCTCCAGATGGTCTCAGTTGCACCTCACTCTCTCCAGGTTGTGTCCTTGAAGGTGCTTGGGGGGCGGGGCAGGTGGAGGGGAAAAGAGCCTGGGGCCAGCCCTCAGTCTACCAGAGGTTGTGTCCTCTCCATAACCTCTCCCAACAATGGAATTCTTTTTTTGTATTCCAACTCAGTGTTAACACCTGGCCGCCTGAAAATCAACCTCTGACCTGAAATGAAAGCATTCTGTAAGTTATTGTCCTCCCGTCCCCACCCCCGGCACAAGACTGATAAAAGTGTCAGAGGCTACTTTTCGCCCACTTGAATTATGCTAAATAGGAAACAAGGGCCGTGGGGGTGGGGGGCGGCGGCAGCATCTGATTTCATCGTCTGTTTCTCCTCCATGTTCTCTTGCAGGATTGAGAAGAGCATCTCTCTCTAGTGGTGGCATTTGAGCCACGTTCTAAAGGAGGGGCTGGGGTGACACATAGATGGGATGGGTGAGGGGGCACTTGGGGTTACGAATGTCAGCCGTGGCCGCAGTGGGAGGGCTCGCTCCTTTCTGACCAAGGGGGCAAGTAGTTGCCCAAAGTGAGCCTGCAGCAGCGTCCTCTGGATGCCCAAACCGGATGACTGAGAGCCACAGAAATGTCTGGTCTCACAGTCCTGGAGGATGGAAGTCCAAAATTAAGGTGTGGGCACAGCTCTACTTTGACACCTGTAGGGGAATCCTTTCTGCCTCTCCCAGCTTCTGGTGGCCGGCAGGCAGTCCTCCCCGTCGTCTGGCTTGTAGGTGCCTCGCGCCAGCCCATAGCTTCACGTGGCCTCGTCCCACTGCGTGACCGTGTCTCTTCTGCTCTTTGTACAAGGACGGCAGTCATACTCATTGAGGGACTCATCCTAATCCAGTATGGGCCCATCTTACTTACATCTGCAACTTGTAACGACCCTACTTCTAAATACGGTTGCATTCTGAGATACCGGGGGTTAGGGTTTCAGTATATGGTTTGGAGAAGACACAACGGACCCCGTAACAGGACCCAAGAAGCCTGAAATCAAAAAGCAAAAGGCATGGGAAGGGTGTCCCGACAGAAATGGCCATGGACCCCACACCCCTTGCTCGTGCTGTGTGTACCAGAGACCCCCGCGTGGTGCCCAGAGAAGGACTTCAGGCTCTCTGGAGCCTCGATTTCTTCCCTTGGAAAATGAAAATAAGCATATATGTTCTTCTTACCTTACAGATTGTCAAGCTGACAAAATGAGGTATGGGAGCTGGTTTGATAGGGGTTACACCGAGCACCGCCACCTACGGTCATTACTGTCTGAGGCCGGACCTGTAGAAACATGCTGAGTAAATTGATAATCCTGGAGGCTGGTACTTCGGTTGAGTTGAAATCAGGCACTATTATACTTCCGGTCTGAGAACTGCAAAGGGTAGAGAAGGGCAAGAGTGTCCGGGGACCGTCCCTTTTTTCCTCCACTGAGCTCATGGACACCTTCCGCAAATACTCAGAGCATGCCTGCTAGTTACAGCAGCTAGAATGGTCCCCGGGAGCTCAGAGAGGAGTAAGTACGGAGCAGGGAGGTAGGGGGCACTAGGCAGCCTCTGGGTTGCTTGAAATGTTCTCTGTGTCTGAGTGGAAGTCACAAGGATACATACACACATAAAAATTCATTAAGCTGTACACCTAAGATTAGTGCACTTACACACTTGACTGTACATTTAAAAAAAATCGTGGCTAAGACACTGTCCCTACTAACCTCACAATTCAATGGGGGATTCGGATAATAGTTACGATAATTCGATGAAATAAACTCTGTAATTGGGGGGTGGCACATTGATTCAGCCAGTGGGTGTGTGTTGGGAACAGTGTGCAGGAAACGAGACAGGAACAGAGGAACGGGTGCGAGAAGGGTTTGGACTTCATCGTGAAGGTGAGCGGAAGCCACTGACATATGGGAAGCAGGAAGTGCTATGATCAGATTTATGCTTTGGAAGCATTCCCTGCTAGGGACGCGGCAGAGAATGGCCAGGGGACTTGAGAAGGTCACAGGATGACAGTCAGAAAGTTAGCCTGAGTCCAGGTGGAGAACAACTGAGACCCCATGAGAGCCACGGTACTGGGACGAAGACATTTGCATCCTGTAATATTGGGACACAGTAGGAAGGTGAGACCGTCCAACTCGGAAACACCAGTGATGGCGATGACAGCTGCCGTCACCATCATCGTGGTGGCTACTCAGTGCTGGCATGTCCGGTGCTGTGGATGCTTACCAAATTCAATTCTGCTCTGTGACATAAGTGCCATGACTGTCATTCCCATTCTTCAGCTGGGGGAGCCTCAGCTCAGAAGGGTCCAGAAACATCCAGGTAGGGGCAGAGCTTGAATCCAAGGACAGCCCTCTATTGTCTGGTAAGGATCAGTGTCCTCAGAACAGGGAAGAGACGGCAGGAAGTGGGGACAGAGAGAGGAGAAAGCGGTGAGGGACAGGGAGGAAGCGGTGAGAGGGAGAGAAGGAGGAAGTGGTG